CATTGGCTGCATATGCAGCATGAACCAATCAGCTTGTGCCAAGTCGTTTAAATCTCTGAATATCATTATTATGTTAACACCCCGTCAGAAAGCGCCATCTAGAGTTTCATGACTGAACTATATATTTATTGTTCACTGTCGGCTTCACAACTTTGCAGATAGTTTATTTTCACATACAGCTACATGACACACTGCATGAAAGGTAATATTCGAAAAGTCATAAAAGGGGCACTTTAAATCCACTGTATTGTAGTTTTGTGTAGTTTTGCGTCTTTGGTGCCTCCTACAGTTAAATGCATGGAATTCAATGTCCTAAATATATTACTGTCCTAAATAAAGTGGACAGCTGTACACGTGCATTTGTTCCTGCCGTAAAACTATCTGCCCTGTTAGCGGAATTTTGTACCTGCTCACTGAACTTTCATACAACCAGAACAGACATCCATTCGCCTTATTAGAAGTGTACCGGTTATTAGAAGTAAACTGGTAATTCAAGGTAAAAAAAAAAAACATACATGCAGTTGCTTTAAGTTAACTTAAAGAAATGGAAAAATTAAGTGTGAATATGGTTTTTATAGACTCATTAATCACCAGAGTGAGCGTGTCCATTTCTGCATCCACTTGCTGTGTACAAGCTTTCAGATTCTCCTTCCAGCGTGTGACGTCATTGATTCTGTCAGTCAGTCGCCAGCTGCTGTCATACTCATCCCAGTTTGTCTGATGACAATAACAGCAACATATTTGATAATTAGTGGTACAGTCTTTTTATCCTGTCAAACAGCTATCAAACCACCCTGATCATTACCTTACTGGTTGTCTCATTACACAGAGCTCTTCCTTCCTGGTGGATCTCGTGTGAAATATTGCGTTTGTACTCAGCAGTCTGATATCTGTTCATTATTGGCTGCCCAGTCAGACACACTTTAACGCAAGCCTGGCTTCGAACTCAGGGTGGCCATGTTTGCTGGTATCATAGAAACAAAGTCAAGTCAAAGTCAAAGTCTGCTTTATTGTCAATTCTGCCACATGTACAGCACATACATACAGAGAATTTAAATTGCGTTACTCTCAGACCCTTGGTGCATACAGTTAACACTTAACACTAACAGTAGACATAATACAGATAAATACAGTTTAAATATATATAAAATACAACCTATACAATATACAAATAAGGACATTGTGTAAAAAAGAGAGAGATAGAAAAAGTGGCATAAGGCACACACCAACTATCTTCTCAGCTGCTCTCACTATGCATTGAAGTGTCTTGCGGCAGGACGCGTTGCAGGCTCCATACCACACTGTGATGCAGCTAGTCAGAATGCTTTCGATGGTGCCTTTGTAGAAGGTGCACATGATGGGGGCCGGGGCTCTGGCTCTTCTTAGTTTGCAGAGGAAGTAGAGACGCTGCTGTGCTTTCCTGGCCAGTGCTGCGGTGTTGTCAGTCCAGGATAGGTCCTCTGTGATGTGCACACCCAGGAACTTGGTGCTGCTCACTCTCTCCACAGTCGCACCGTTGATGGTCAGAGGAACATGTTGAGTATGCACTCTCCTAAAGTCAACAACAATCTCCTTCGTCTTCTCCACATTCAGAGAGAGATTGTTTTCACTGCACCACCCGGCCAGGCGGCTCACCTCACTCCTGTAGTTTGTCTCATCTCTGTTGCTAATGAGACCCACTACAGTCGTGTCATCTGCAAACTTAATAAAGAGGTTGGAGTTGTGTGACGGTGTGCAGTCGTGTGTCAGCAGAGTGAAGAGGAGGGGGCTCAGCACACATCCTTGGGGGGCCCCAGTGTTCAGTGTGATGGTGCTGGATGTGTTACTGCCGACCCGTACTGCCTGAGGTCTCCCAGTCCAATAGCCAGTTGCACAGCGACGTGTTGAGCCCCAGCTGGACCAGTTTGTGAATGAGCTGTTGAGGGATGATTGTGTTGAATGCTGAACTGAAGTCTATGAACAGCATTCTGACATATGAGTCTTTTTTGTCCAGATGTGTGAGTGCTGAGTGGAGGGTAGTGGCGATGGCATCATCGGTCGAGCAGTTGGACCGATATGCAAACTGGAAGGAGTCCGGGCGGGGGGGGCAGACTTAATGTGGTGCATGACTAGCCCTTCTAAGCACTTCATGAGGATAGGGCAAAGTACAACTGAACGGTAGTCATTGAAGCAGGATGGAGACGACTTCTTCGGTACTGGAATGATGGTGGTAGCTTTGAAGCATGTGCGGACAACAGCCTGACTTAGCGAGATGTTGAAAATGTCTGTGAAGACATCAGTGAGTTGACAAACAAGATGACAATTAAAGACAAAAGTAGTAGTTCTGGTAAACACGCCGGTTAACCACCTGATTCTGAAAAGTTATGTTTGTACTTTACCATTCTGATTGATATTCATGCGTCAAATACATTAATAAAACGATGTTTTTCCACATTGGTTAGGCCTAATTTATGTAATTATTATTAGTAGTAGTAGTACTATTATTATTGGGATTAGTAATGCGCCTTAAATTCACTCTCTAAGCTTTTTAAATAAAGATAGCCTACTACTAATAGGCTAATAATGTGAATTAACAATGAATGCATCGTTTAGTAAATGATCTACTTTTACTTATTCCTGTATATTTATCATACATGCTCATTTCATGACCTCGTAGCCTAATTGAGAGACTATATTAAGTATTTGTACTTTTAGGTTATAAATCGATTGGCCACAGAGCAGGGTGCATTTAAGTCTAAAGTTAAACTTAGCTGTAAAACTTAGATGGTGGAACAATGAAAGAAAAAGTCGTTTCTGCACCTGAAATATTTTGATTTATATATTCATACATTTAAGAATACTACCTTTATGTTAAATAAAGTTCATATACATGTCATTTGTAAATCACCGAAAACATTAATTTTACTTACCGAGACTGATGAAACTTTCAGATGTGTTGTCAGTCGGCTGTTGTGAGTCCAGCAGTAAACACAGTAATTAAGCGGGTCTCTTAGTAACGGGGCGACGCAACTGCAGCTTATTCAATAATTTATACAGCATAGCAACACTCAACAATTACTCACTCTCTGAGACATTTCATCATCTCACCGTGACGTGTGAGACCACTCTTCTCAGGTATTTCACGTGCCTGGTTCTTTGCTGAATATAAAACCTAGAACACCCTAGAAACCTCAGAGTAACCCTTAAAACCCCTTAACTGTCACCGTCCCACCTGTGGGACATTTGACGCTCTTTTTTTGTTGTCCTTTTTCTCTATCAAATCTCTTAGTAATCATCATAAATTATATATAATTTAAAAGCTTAGAAGCCCAAAATTCATCCTGTGAAAACCATTTTGAAATCGGACATTGCGTTGCCATGGAAATTGTACTTTTAAAAATCAAACCTTTTTATAATCTTGACAAAAAACATATCATTGGAAAGGTCTGGGTCTCAGGATTCCATATTTGGTAATATTTGGTTTGTCAAAGTAATATTGACAGAGAAATCTAAACATTTGTGACAGAAAAATGCATTTTAATAAATCAATGGAGTTTGAATGGCACCCGGTGGCTGTTTGTGGTATAACGCCCTAAATAAAATCTCACAGGAACCTCAATTTTTTTTATATCAACTTCAAATTTGGAACATAACTTATTTAGACATATGGCTTTAATTTTATACAATTTTTAGAGTAAAACCTGTTATGTAAAATATTTATTATATATAAAATAAAATTAGTATAGTGCATTTTCTTTACAGTAAATTTAAACTTCTATAACTTTTTGATACTTTAATTTTTTTTTTTTGTACATTTTTAAAAAATTCCACTTTTGCAATAATCTGCTGATTTTCTTCTTTAAAAAGAGACCAACCTTAGGTCTGTATTCCAAAGTGTTCATAAATTACAACAATTTAAGTTTGGATAGTGCACTTTCATGCCTATTTAAAAAAATGGGGGGTGACAGTTAA